AGAGTCTAACCATCAGACTTTTCATCACACCAGTCTTTCTCATAATTTTGTTGCTGTTGATTTTTTCCATGTAAGGATATGTCTAGTAAGAAAACTCTTTACAACACAATTTGACTTCTTTTCTGGATCTTATTGAATTAAGAAATTGTTATTAACAGGGTATATGACCTACTCAGGGTCACATATTCACTATATGTGAAAGGTGGAATTGAATAGAGATGTTAACTCTGTGTATGTGTGTGTGTGTGTGTGTGTGTGTGTGTTTTCTCTCTCTATTGTCTCTATTTCACTGCTCTGAGCCTCTATATTCTCATCTGTAAAATGATATCCACAATCCTTATCTTGTAGCAATGTTTTGAGACTCAAGTGAGAATATAAATAGCTGCATCCTTAAAGTTCTATTTAAACGGTAGTTAAAATGATGATTATGGTTTGTTTCTTAGTTGCTTGTTTTTTAGGGAGAAGGGTGTAGGTGAAAGATGAAATAACTGAGGAAAAAAAAGTTTGAGCCTTCAAGCATTTTAATTTATTAAGTAATTCATGGCAATTTTCAACAAACCAAGAGTAGGCCCTTCCTCACGTTAGGGCTGAACCTCAAATAAAGAGGCATACAGACTTTTATGCATTAAAAGCAAATAATCAAATAAGACCAATTAATTAAAGAGAAACAATACAGCATTGGGTAGTCTAATTTCTAATTGGAGGAAAGATTAGGAACTTTCCAAATTGGTAAGGGGAGAGCAAATAGGTGCAATTCCCTGAATTCAGAAAAAGACATGTTCCGTGCATGTAAACAATCAAAAGAACTTGGAAACAGTGACTGATTGATCAATTTGGGGCTAGTTTTTGAATAAAAAATGTGGGTTGCTTCAGATGTACAATTTTGAGTAAACTCCTTGCATCAATCTTTGGATCTGACTGGGTTTCTGGCCAGCATAACCTAGGTCCTTAATTAAGTGTCTCTAAACAGCAGAGAGAGGGTGTCCAGTTTTCTGGTCATGTAAGGCTAGGCCCAAACAGTGCATGAAAGTAGTATACCAATTCCCATAATCAATTTTTTTAATAAGATAGAATTAGACTACACTCATAATTAAATAAAAAGGGAACTGAGCTAGCTCCAGAATTGAGTCACAAGATGGATTCAGTATGATTTGCTCAATTTTCATCATTAACAACTTGATCTTCTAATCTCTTCAATTCTCTCTGGAGGAGGGTGGAAGGGTGGGTGGGTGTTGTATATATGAGCTTTAATATTGAAAACCTCAATATATTTCTGTGTCTTGGGAGTGGCCATCAGCATGTGTGGTGATATCTTCTGCTGTTCTTTTAAGGTCATTAATATCTATTGTCATTTTGCATTTTAGGCTCAGGAAACCTCCAGTGAAGATCTGAGTTTTCCTCTTGAAAACAAATGAAATTGAACTAGTTTCTAGCACTTCAAAATGCTATATGTTAAGGGATGGCTGAAAGAATTATGGAACATGAATACAAGGAGAATGCTATTATGCTATGAGAAATTATGGAGGGGGTGGTTTCAGAGAAACCTGTGAAGATTTGTCTGAACTAATGAAGAGTGAATTGAAAATAATTAGGAGAATAATTACAATAATAACAACATTGCAAAGAAAAAGCACTTTAATAAAACATGTTATCCAACTCTTGAAAAAGAGTTGATTAACTCAGGAAGTAGTAGATTGAGACAAGCACACACAGAGAGTTATAAATAATGTAATATAATACAATATCCTACTATATTATATTATTAATATTACTATCCTATTATAACATCACCCATGTGGGAATTTGTTTTGACACAAGTTACAAGGACTTTGTTGTTTTGTTGTTAATGAGGGGTAAAGTGAGGACAGAAAAACTACTAACTGAAAAAAATTAAAATGCCCAAAGTACTAGATTTTGCCACACAAATATGTCTTTCATCATGCCATGTTGTATTCTTAAATACTCTTTCATCATCCCCATGTTATGAAATCCAGTGCATATATATCTGTTGGATACATCCAATAAGAAATGAATTATAGAATTTGGAGCTTGAATTGAGCTTATAGGGAGAGTGGAACTTTAAGATGAATCTGCCTGAGTTGTGCAGAATACATTGGCCAAGTAATAGGACAAACTTGGAAAAGCACGTAAGTTTGTTCAAAGTTCCAGAGTATTTTTTCCTTTTTTTAATATAAGCAAGATTTCATTTTTTAAAAATGGAAGTACAGTTTCCAACATGAAGAAATACTTTCTTCCAGGTACCCATCTCCAGCATGATCAAATGCATCATTGTTATGACTCTGGCAAGTATAGAGAAAAGCTGATGAAAATCTTGTACATGAAAATATTGAATTTTGGAATCTGGTTTGAAGGAGAAACTAGTTTTTGCTCCAAGCCCTTTCCAACTCAAGGAAGCGATGTGAAACAATGAAAACAAATTCATCACCAAATACTATACTTTTTCCCCCTTTCTCTTAGAAATAATCAACATCCTGTTTAAATGTAATAATTTGTTTTCCTGCCTCCAATGCATGCTATCTCCAAATCATATTTTGGACTATTGCAGGAAAAAAGAAACTGGTAATATCCCTTTCCAACAAATGAATCTCATTAAAATCAGAATGAGACACACATCAGGTTTCTCACCTTTCTATTATGATTTGAGATCCACCTCCATTCCCTTCTAAGGTTCATTTAGAAACTATGGAGTGACAAATAAAATTTGTTAAGACTGATTATGTAGTGTCATTCCGTACTTCTTTATGCAGTGGACAGGCCTAACAGAACTTTCATTGAGCAATTCAACTAACAAAATAGCTACTCATATTTTACTCAAGTAACCAGCAAAAATACTGGGCAGACTATTCATTATTATAATGTTTGTGTTCCCTGTACTGCAATGCCCCTGGCCTTGGAATATTTCTTGAGAGCTACTGCAGGAAAATTCTCTGTGCTTGGCAGAAGTCAAGAATTTATGATGTGGCTCTGAGCAGTACTGAGGCAAATAGCAAAAACTGTTATCCTTAGTGCACTTTTGCAAGGCAACTGGTTAAAAGGCAAATCTGATCTGAAATGCTGCTTTCTGGTGCAATGCAACAATTACACTTCACTTGAAAAACCTGTCCCACATCAAGCTCAGAACTACATGGTTCTGAGAAACCAAATATTTCTTTTAAAGTAGAATTTCCCAAAGGAGTCATAAATACTGGAATATATTACCATAATTTTGCTAAGCCAGATAGAGTTATAGGGTGAGAATATCAATTATCATGACATAGCTGACTTTGACTAACAGTGTGACATAGTAGGTAGACTGTCAGGCTTTGTTTTAAATCTCACCTCTGACACCTCTTATCTGTGTGTCCATGGCTAGGTCAGTGGCCATAGACAACTCTTTAAGACTCTAAGTCAGAGAAGAGTTGCTATGAGATTGGGAGGGTGGAGGGGAGGAGAGTGCAGAATTTCCATGCTACAAATTCCCAACAGATGAAATTATAGGTCCAAACAACAATGGCAACAGGAGAAGCAACAAAAACAGTAAGTACAGCAAAGATAATAAAAACCTAGTAATTCCTCTCTCACAGGATTTTTGTAAAAATCAAATATGATATTATCTGTAAAGTATTTTGCAAACTTTTAAGCACTATAGAAATGGAAGTTATTATAGAAATGGCTGCTGGGGTTTGGCAGTCATGAAGCCCAGGGGTTGGAATGAGAGGATGCACTCAAGGTGACTTAATAGGAAAAATCTTTTATTCTTGTCAAGGCAAACAGTGACCAGTTCACCCATCTTCACAGAAACAGAAAAGACATTACTCAGGATGGCATGTACACAATGCAGGTGTCTCCCTAAGGCTGCGCTGCAGCTTTGGAGCCTAACCTTTAAATTCTGAGATCACAGGATTTTAGAACTGGATAGAATCTTAGTGATCATTTTATCCATACCTGTTATTGTGTAGATATGGAAACTGAAGCCACAAAAGAATGACCAGTTTGTCCAAAGACATGAAAGTAGTAAGACAAAAATTCAAAATGTGAATCCAGTTCTCCTAACTCCAAATCTGAGGCTCTTTCCTTAACTAAGCATAAGTGGAAGTGTATAGAGACAAAGCATATTCTTATGGTTTTCAGATCCTAGTTTAGTAAGCAACCCCAGATAGTTCTCTGGAATTTAGCATGTTTCCCTTCCAGCCTTGCAAATTTTAGTGTATAGATGGCATGAATGCTATTTTTGTGTTCTGGGCTGTGCTCATGTAGAGTAGTGTAGCCAATTACCACACTATTGTGTAGCTAGAGGACACTCTATTAAAAAACCATCTTTCCTGTTGAAGTGCCTCAAACTGATCTGTCAGAGTCCTATTTCTTTGGTACTATATTGAAATGAAACAACGTTGAGATGGGGAATGCACGAAACCTTCATAATTCATTAACATATTCATGGAAATTATTTTGTCAGCTTCTTTTCTTACAGAGCACATAGATGAGAGTGGACCATTGAAGTAAGTAGGATATAGGATAATTAGAAAACAGAGAAAGAAAGCCTATGGATGTGGATGGACACTTCTGATGACAACATTCCAAGAGACCTAGGTAGTACCACACATTTGTAGACATAGTTTGATGAAACAAGTCTCTTTGTTGTTTTTTTTTTTTTCATTATGTTAGGGAAAAGAGGAAGACTGAAACATTTATAGGATGAATAGATGGATGGGCCAATAATGACAGATGATAGAAAGAAGAAATAATTGTTTAATTATTATTTTAATCACATTTCCTCTGTCAAGAAAAAAACAAAAGCTCTTTGGATGGAAAAAGCTAAAAATGACTACAAGGAACTCTACGCAATTTAAGCCGAGAGAGACTGAGGAACTATCTAGTTGCCCTTAATGAGTTCAAGTCATTGATGGTCCAGTACATTCTTAAATACTAAAACAACTGGTAAATAAAATTTCTTTGCTATTATCAGTGATCTTTGAAAAATTTTGGAGAAGAGGGGCTTGACCCCAGCATTAGAGAAGAGCTAATGTTGGAATAAAAAAGGGAAAATAATGGAATATACAAATTTTATTCCCAGCAATGTAACTTTGATTCATGGCTAAATTCTGGAATGTATTATTAAAGGGATAGTTATTGGATGTCTCCAAGTGATTCAATGATCACATAAGAGCCGGCTTGGTTTATTCAAGAGCAAGTTATGTCAGATTAGACTCAGTTTCTTTATTTCTGAGGTCTTTAGATCAGATTTCATGTGATATAGTTTAATTTGATTTTAGGAAAGTATTCGAAAGAAAAGTCTCTCGTGCTATTATTGTGAATAAGTTAGTAAGATGTCAGCTAGAAAGACATAGTAACTAGATTTAGTACTGGTTCATAGTCAGATGTATTTTAAAAAATGACATCAGTAATTGAATAAGAATTTGAAAGGGGGTCTCCAATGAAATGTCAGTGGTTAACTCTAAGTTATCTAACAGTTTTAGCAACGGTATAGGTGGCCAAAAAGATAGGTGGTTGGCTTGCCCATTCCTAAAAGACATGATTTGTAAAGGATAGCTAACATATTGAGAAGAGTCAGAATCCCAAAACATCTTCATAGAACAAAGGATGGGGCCAAATATATTAAGATGAAATTTGAATCTGCAAATACTCAAGTGGTTCTGTAATTTCTTCAATTCAGTGGTTCACTCCAATAATGCAGATAAAAACCTCTTCATGCCTCTTCATCTTGTGCTTCTCTCATTCATGCCTTCCTAAAAGTTCACCACAAAAGGTCCAACTGTCTTACTGGAGGCCTTTCTTAATTCTTTTCATCTGGAAGAACAAAAAGTCCAGAATAACAAGGGAACTAATGAAAAGAAATGAAAGGGAAAGTAGCCAACTGTGGTACTAGCACTAAGAATATGGGTAAGTCATTTTGCCATTCTGAGTCACTGTGTCTTGGTTTATGAAACTGTGGAGGTGAATCTCAAAGATCTCTAAGACCCTTTCCACCACACAGTAGATTTTTTTTGGGGAGGCAATAGGGGTTAAGTGACTTGCCCAGGGTCACACAGCTAGTAAGCGTCAAGTGTTGAAGGTCAGATTTGAACTCAGGTCCTCCTGACTCCAAGGCTGGAGCTCTATCCACTGCACCACTAGCTGCCCCCACATAGTAGATCTTATCCTATAGTAAGTACCAAATAAGCAGTGATCAGGTGATCATCTATGAAGAGGCAATCTTGGATTCACAGACCCTGGTTTTAAGTGCTTAAGGAGGATTCACTCTAAGGCACATTGTTGCTTAAGTGCATATACTAAATGACTAAATGATTATGTATTCGTCTATTAATGTTAAATATCAAGTCCCAAGAAAAATGTAAAGGAACAGTTGCTAAATGAAAATCATGCTTTCTTTTTGTTTTGTTTTGTTTTGTTGCTTGTTTTTAAAGGTATATATTTACCATTAGGTGGGTCTGACAAAAGCATATATTCCAATAAATATTAATACTTCCTTAACATAAGTACTCCTAAGTCTTATAGGAAATAGGAATAAAACATGCTCATTATGGTTTATTTATATATTTTTATTGCTATCAAGTCCTTATTTCAGGATTCTTCAAAACCATTTTTTTTTTCTTTTTCAGCAAAACTGCTGTTTGGTTTCTAGGAAACATCTAGCTATCCATAACATAATAATCATAGCCAGCATTTATAGATCACTAAAGCCTTGCAAAGATATTACACATTATCTCATTTGTCACAACAACTTTATCAGTTAGGGACCATTTTTATCCCCATTTTGTTGTTTTTGTTCAGTGATGTCTGACTTCATGACCCACTTTGGGGTTGTCTTGGCAAAAAATATTGGAGTGGTTTGCCATTTCCTTTTTCAGCTCATTTTATAGACAAGGAACTGAGGCAAACAGGTTTTAGTGACTTGCCCAGGGTCACATAGCTAGTAAGTATCTGAGGCTGGATTTAAATTCAATTAGATGTCTTCCTGACTCCAGACTCAGCACTCCTACCACTGTGCCACCTACCTGGTATTTCACATCTCCATTTTACAGATAAGGAAATTACCCTGGGTCATATAGCTAGTAAGTTTCTCAGCCAGGATTCAAACTCAGGTCTTCCTGATTCCAAGTCTTACATTTCTGATCCTCCTAACTACCTCAGCTAATTAAGCACCACAATGGTCTAGAGAATATCATACAGTAGTTCACATAATTTTGTTAAGTAGACAAGAAATAAAAATTTTCCTTTACTTCTTTATTCTGCTAATTCATGTAGTTTATACATCTTCAGGTAATTTCTTTCCTTGAAATTCTTATTTTTGCTATCTTACCAAGCAAGGCAGGGTAGTGTAGTGGATAGAGAAACAGACTCAAAACCTGAAAGACATAAGTTTGAGTCCCTCCTATGACACTTTCACATTAAGGACAACTTAGCTGACTTCTCAGCCTTCTAGGCAACTCTTGAGCATTCTCAGTTTCTGAAAGGGTGTTCATCTTCATTGGTAGGTGTGCTTCCTTCATCTGATAATGAGTTCACCTTAACACAAAAGTCACAGGTCTGGTTAAATACTATCATTAATATTTGTCACTTGTTTTCTATAATACTTACTTCACCATTTTTCTTTTCCTTTGTATATTTTACTGCTTGGCTGATACTCTTAGAAATCATCATCTTCATTTCCCAACATGTTTCTCTCTCTTCTCCATCCCAGTAAAAAAGAAAAGACAGAGAGAGAGAGAGAGAGAGAGAGAGAGGTGATGTCAGATAAGCAAAGCTACCCAGAACATCAAATAAGTCTGACAGCATTTGAAATTTTCCACTCCCATAGCCCACCCACCGCCACCCCCAAACACACGCACATTTGAAAAGAAGGGAGAAAGTTCATTCTCATCCATGTTCTTCAAGAGGAAATTCAATTTTCTTCTTCAGTGGCAAACATATAATAATTACATACTATTCAGTTTTAATTTATGCTGTTGATGTTCTTTCCATTTGCATTACTGCATTTATTTCGTGTACTGTTTTCCTGGTTCTATTTACTTTGCTTTTCATCAACTTTTATCAGACTTCCCAGGCCTCCTCATAGTTTTTACAGTTCTTGTTTCCTATGGTCCAGTAATATTCCATTACATTCATATACCATAGTTTGTTTAGCCATGCAACCATTAATGACCTCCTTAGTTTACAATATTTTACAATTATAAAATATTTTGCTATAAACATTCAGGCAAATATGGGATTTTTCTCCCATTGATCATCTTGGAGTACAAATTTAACAATAAGATCTCTGAATCAAGAAATATTGACATTTTAATCACTTTGTTAGCATAAATCCAAATTGTATTCTTCATATATATCCACCTTGATTGACCAATTTAAAACTCTGACAATAGTAAATTAGTATTCCTATCTGACCTCAACCTTTCCATTGACCTTCACTATCTTTTGTAATTCTGGCCAATTTCCTAGGTGTGAGATTAAACTTTGAAGTTGTTTTGATTTCCCTTTTCTTCTTAGGAAGGGAGGAATGGATACTTATTAAGAACTTACTTAGTATCACGCTCTGTGCAAAGCTCTTTACAAATATCAGCTCATTTGATCCTGACAACAATCCTGTGAAGTAGATGCTATTATTATACTCATTTTAAAATTGAAGAAACTGAGACAGACATAAGTTAAGTAACTTGCCCAGAGTCATATAGCTAGTAAGTGTCTGAGGATAGATTTGAATTCACATCTTCTTGACTTCAGGCCCAGTGTTCTGGTGCAACCTTATTATTACTGATGTGAAGCAATTTTCCACATAATTTTAATTGTTTGCATTTTTTTCTATTTATTTAAGTACTTCTATATTTTTTGTTCTGTACTTAACTACCACAAAACTGCATCTTTATGCTCATAGCAGAAGTCATAAAGGAAGAATCTATGAAAAAATGAATCTCTATTTCATGATATTTTCTTTATTCAAGTATATAATAATCTTCCTTTCAAAATTGTCCTTCTTATCTGTGCTAACTTCTCATCTTCCTTCTGTTCTCTTCTGTTCATTTTTAAAAATGTTACAATGACTCTGCTTTTCATCACAATTGCTATTTATCTCATAATCCCCCTCCCAAATATATAGAATTAATTTATATTATAGAAGGAAATGTGGATATGACTTCTTTTGCCTATTTTTGTAAATAATTTTAGGATTTAATTTATTTGTGAATGTTTGATAGAATTTGCTTATGAATCTCTAGGGCAAGAAGTCCCCCAACCCCTTTGAGAGTATATTTATGGTTGCTGTTATTTTTTTTTAATTTCTCTTTCTGAGATCATGTTTTTCTAACTCTCTATTTCTTATTGTATAAATCTGGATTTTTTTATGTAAATATTCATCCATTTAAATTAAATTAAGTTGTATATTTCATTGGCATATAGCTGAAAAAATGTTTCAAATAACATCCTTTATTTCTTCTTCATTTGTTGTGAATTCTTATAATTTTTTTTTTCACACTGGTAATTTGGTTTTCCTCTTTTTAATCCTATTATCTAACAATTTATCAACATTTTTATAGATATGAAATGTATCTGTTGCATATAGAATAGCTTCTTGTATTTCTTTGTCAAGTGTTTTTCTTTTAATTTCTTAAATTTGTTTTCTATATTTAAAAAGTTTCACACCACATTCATTGATCTATTTTCAATCAACTAACAAACATTTATTAACCCCCCATTACGATCCAGGCACTGTGCTAACAGTGGGGATATAAATAAGGCAAAACGTAGTCCCTGCCCTCAAGAAGCTTAATCTAATATATACAAAGCAAGATATATACATGATAATTTTTTTTTAAAAATCAACAGAGGGAAAGAAACTAGAATTAAGAAGGGTTGGGGAAGGCTTCCCGTAGTAAATTAAAGGAAGTCAGGGAAGTCAACAGTTAGAATAGAGAAGGTAAAGTATTTCAGGCAATGTGGACAGCCCAAGAAAATAATCTTATCCCAGAGATGGAATTTCTTGTTCATGGAAGAGCCAGGATTCCAATGCAACTAGATCAAAGAGTAAATATTTGAAAATAAGGTGGAAAAATACTGGAAAGGTAGGAAAGGTAGGAGAAGCTATATTATGAAGGATTTTAAATGCCAAAGTATTTTAGATTTTATTTTAGAGGCAAGAGTGATTCACTGCAGTGTATTGAGTAAGGGGAGTGGGAAAACATGATTGATTTTCACTTTAGCCAAATTACATTAGTGCCTGAATGAAAGATGGGTAGGAGTGGGGAGAGATTTGAGGCAGGCAGACCCACCAGCATGAGGTAATACTGGCCTGTGCTAGAATGGTGGCATTATAATAATGGAGATATGAAGTAATGAGGATCTTCACTAAAGTGGTGACACTGTGAGAGGAGAGAAGGGGACTTATTCAAGAGATTTTTCAGGGATGAAATTAATAGGCATTGGCAACAGATTGATCATGGGATATGAGAGAAAATGGGGAGTCAGGGATGATTTCTAGTTTGTGAGACTGAGGGACTGAGAAGATGGTGTTGCCTTCTACTGCAATAGGGAAATTAGGAAAAAAGGTTTGGGTGAAAGATCATGAATTCTATTTTGGACATAGTTTAAAATGTCTACTGGATATTTAGTTTGAGATGTCTGAAAGGCAGTTGGAGATACAAAACCTGAGGTCAGTATAGTCTATATATTGATTTAAGAATCTTTAGTATAGACATGGTAATTGAATGTTATGGGAGCTGATGAGATCACTAAATAAAGTAATATAGAGGGAGAACAAAAGAAATTCCATGACAAAATCCTAAGAAACACCTATGGTTAGAGGAAATGATTTAGAAAATGATCCAGTGAAGGAGATAAAGAAGAAATAAAGGAGATAAAGAGGCAAAAAGTTATATGCTTTTCTCCATCTCTATTTGGCAGCATAAATGTAAGAGGGAAGGTGGGAGTGATCCAAGTCTAAGGCTTAGCTGAGTGTAACCAGGAATGTGATAAGAAAGCCTAGGGATACAAGAGAGGAACACAGCACAGAGCTAAATTGTATCACCAAGGGGTAAAGATGAGAAAATGATAGAGTGATTAGTGCAGGGAGGCTGGTCAGAGAGAGAATTGAGGAGTAAAGAGATTAGAAATCATGGAGTGGGTGAAGAGTAGAGTTTTGTAAGGGAAGACAGAGAGAGAAGTGAAAAGCCAATAGATCATGGGCATTTAAGGGGATTTGGGAAATTATTGAGCAAAGAGATAATGTATTTGTGAATGATGAAAAGACCAAGGGTATGACCTTTTGTGTGTGGCTAAGGTGAGATGGAGGGGTAGCTCATGGGAAGTGAGTAGGATGAAAATTTGAGCAGTTTGGAGATTTGAGAGAGAATCAATATGTATGTTTGTATCAAGTAGTATGAGGGCAAGAGTTAAGGAGGAGAGAAAACTTGTAAGGCATATACCAAACTCATTGAGGAAATAAAGGGTGAAACTTGAGCATGTATAGACAACAGCTATCAGAATTTTGATCAGGTGTTAGATGTGAGTATTAGGAACCTCAAAGAAAAAGAAATTACTGAGTGGTGGAATAAGGGAGGTGGGGAGAACCTGGAAGTGGCAATGGGGACCAAGTATCCCAACTCTTCCACTTTTATCAGGGAACTCAGAAGAATGAGTAAAGGTGCAACCAGTACAGAAAAAGTGTGGCCCAAGAGATTGTGTAATCTGGGGGAAGTCAGATTTAAATAAGAGCTAGTTCATGAAAGGAGTGGGACAAGAAAAAAAAATTGAAAATGAAGTTAAGAGGAGGCAGACCAAGATGGTAGAATAGAGGTAGCAATCCAGCCAAACTCTCCCATTATTGCCCACCAAATAACTTTAAAATAATATATCAAATCAAATTCTGGAGTGAGATAAATCATAAAAAGTAGAGGTGAGACATTTTTCCAGCCCAAGAAAACTTAGGAGGTCGGTAGGAGAGGTCTATGACATTGGGGTTGTTTTCAACCCAGAGAGCACAGAGAGGAGACATTAGTGGTGGGCTTTGTAAGTGACTGAGACAGTGTCAGCAGAAGCTTCAGAAGCTCTTACTGCCTAGAAATGGAAAGGAGGTTGCACAACTGGTCAGAAAAGATAATAGAAAACCCCAAGCTAGAAATAGTACTAGGTACAGTTTGGCAAATCTATTGCCTATACAGAATTCTAGGTTGCATTTCTAGATTGTATAGGAGCACTCATGGTCATTTACAATGGAGCAGGGACCCTGGTTACAGTTTCAGGGCATACAGGAGTACAAGGGCTTGTGGCTGCAAGGGATCAGAGTTCTTTCCTGGGGAGAAGACCAGAGTGCAGACCAGGAGAGAAGTGATGACATGTCTCTCAAGATTATACCACCTTGAAAGCACCTAAAACTTAAAGAACCCCTAGTACTGAAAACAGTAGCTGAAAATAATCTGAAGTTTGGGGCAGTGCCTCTCCACCACCAGAGGAGCAACTTTAACATAAATATCAAATTCAATAAATAGGCTGGAAAAATGAACAAACAACACCGAAAAAGGAACCTGACCATAAAAAGTTACCATGGTACAGGGAAGATCAAGACACAAACTCAAAAGAAGACAACAATGTGAAAACAGCTACAAACAAAGCCTCAAAGAAAAAAAAAATTGTTAGAAGTCCATCAAGCATTTCTGGAAAAGCTAAAGAAAGGTATAAG